CTTGGTCTCCTTAGGGAGCCTTCAAAAAAGGTCCAATCAGAACAGCTGCTTTCAAGGGGATCTCTGCTGAGCCAGTTCAGTTCAAGCCAGAAGGTTATGGCAACGGATTTTAGGGGAATTCCCACGAGTGATCTTGGTAGCTTTTCTCGAAAGGACACAAGATGATCACTGGCTTAGTAGAAAGAACTTCTAGAAAACTGAGAACTGCTCTGTTGAGAAAAAGCCTGGAAAGTTGTGCTGAAATCTTTTTTCTGTCATGATGATGCACCTGCTTCTTCTTTGAGAGCTGTCCTGTGAGAATTTCTTTAGGAAAATTATGAGGAGGTACCCCCCAAAAACTGGAATTGCCCTGGGCAGAGTGCAGCTTTCGTAGTATGCATTTTTCCCACTAGGGGCACAACAAGCAACTCGCGCTGAGGTAGTGCACCCAGTGGTATCACCTGGGAAGTTTCTCTCAGGTAACAGTGCATTTTTTCATGAAAGCAGTTACACTTAAACCTCATTTTTTGTGATGGTCAATTTAAGAGAATAGTGTGTGGCTGCAAAATTTTGTCTCCTGCTCAGGAAAAATGCCAAAGAAACTGTTGTAATGTTGAACACAGCTTACAAGGACAGTGCTATGGGAAAGACTCAAGTGTATTAGTGGTTTTCTCGTTTCAAAAGAGGTGAAATGTCAATTGATGGCGAACCTCATTCAGGACATCCATCAACTTGCTGAATGGGCGAAAAGGTTGACTCATAGTGCATCTGGAATTCATTCTATGAGGTCAGACTGTTCTCTTTAGAGGTTCCGAAAAGATTGCGTAACAGTGTGCAATAAAAATGGCCTCATTTGCAGCAGACGTGGGACTGGTTTTGCCACCATGACAATGTATCTGCTCACACAGCCATCTCAGTGCACCCACTGGTTTTTGGCAAAAAACGGCATGCCTCTCTTGCCCCACACACCTTACTCACCTGACTTTGCTCTGTGCAACTTCTTTTTGTTTCTGGAAATGCAGAGGGACATGAAAGGACAGTGATTTGATGATGTAGAAAAGGTGAGAAACAAAATGAGGAAGGCGATGTCAGCCATCCAAACAGATGAGTTTGAAAAATGTTTCCAAGAATGGAATCACAGATTTGACAAATGTATTAAACATAATAGAGAGTACTTTGAAGGTGAGAAGGTTGTTTGTAAAAAAATTTAAATACGTAGCTTTGAAAAAAATGTTCAGCTTTTTGGGGGGTACCCCTTGTATTCCACCTACCCTACCACCCTGATCTTGCCCAATCCGGCTGGATTTTGTTCCCCAGACTCAAACGCTGAAAGGGAACATGATCTGAGTCCCTTGGGAATGCCCAAACTGTCATTTTTTCATGGTGTACACTTCAGAGCACACACTGCTTCGGAAAAGGGTTTGCAAGATGGGAACACGGCCTGCAGAAGTCTATAGACCTAGATGGAGGCTCTGTTGAGAAGCAATAGTTTCACATTTTGATATTTTTGTTTACTAAAGGCTTGTAAGATTTTGTAAAACAGTACCCTTTGACTTATTCTCAAAAAAGCAAGAATAGCAACCAGTCCTTATTATGTAGTGAAACTTTTCAAAGTGCAATTTCATGTAACCCTGACAACACATCTCTTGTGTTGTTATTCCAAATGTACAGATGCGGGATGTGCCACAGAGGTACGGAGTTGGGAAGCACAGCCACAACTCAGACATGAAAGAGCCCCCAGGTAAATAAAGCCAGTTCCTGTTTCCAAGATGGTAGACATACTCTATGTCTTGACTTCTCTCCTTCAAATCTCACTGACCCAGTAGAACATCTTGAAGAAAATCTATAAAACATTTATGGGCATGGAAAGAGACGAGAGGCCTATCAGAGACTTGGATTGAGGGGAAACAAAAGAGGCACTTACAACTAAGAGGAGGTATAAAAGAAGATCTTGAAGCAGATTTCTAATGAAAGCGAGCTCTCTGAGTTAACAGTAAGCTGGCTCTCTGAGAGAACACGAAAGTGATGTGTTCACAGCAGCGCTGGGTTGCTAATCTAAAGGTGGATGGTTTGAACTTATCAGCAAGAGAAAAATGAGGCTCTCTGCTTGTCTTTTACAATCTTGGAACCCAAAGGAGTTGTTCCCCTTACCCTACAGCAGGGATCCTCAAACTTTTAAAACAGGGGGCCAGTTCACTGTCCCTCAGACCATTGGAGGGCCGGACTATCGTTTAAAAAAAACTATAAACAAATTCCTATGGGCCCGGGACGAGTCGGCTGCTAAGCAGGACAGGCAGCAGTGGCAAAAACACCTGGCAGACCGGATAAATGTCCTCGGCAGGCCACATGTGGCCCACAAGCCATAGTTTGAGGACCCCTGCCCTACAGGGTAACTAGGAGTCACAATCAACTCCACAGCAGTGGCTTTTGTTTGGTTTAGCATCAAAAAAGAAGAACAGCTCCCTAAGCAAACACCTGGGCTGCAACATAGTCAGTCATGTTCGGGCCTATGGAGAAAACTTCCTGGTGGCAGTTGTGGGGGGCCCAACCTGCCTCCCAACCCCAACCCCAGAAACCGCAAAAAACCTCAGGGAGTCCTTGCAATTAGAGAAGAGGATTATTCCTGAAAAGCATGGTGGCATTACCAAAATTTCGAGGAAACCCAGTCTAATTAACCTAATCCTGTATTTATAAATATGCAGGATATACCCAAGGATCAAAACGGCATAAAAATCAGAGAACTAAGATGAAAGGAAACAAACTAAAGCTAAGGGAAAAACTGGATGTTGGAATTATAGCAAATTCTCAGTTACCTGTACCAGGGGAGGGCCGGAAGCACAGGAACCCTCAACTATTTGCAGCTGGCAAGGAAAATGTTTTCTGATTTCTATTGTAATTTACTGCCAAAAAACCAGACACTGCTATTAACATGAACATTTATTTTTTAAGAATACATGACTGAGACCCAAACTTCAACCCTGGCATCAAGTGTAATAGTCGATATGACAGATAAGTCACTTTTCCATATTAATTTCCCTGGATATTACATGGAAATATATGTTTGCACCATCTGACACAAAGAAATGATCTAATAATCAAAAGCTAGGAAGTGTGGGTCTTTTTTTTTAAACCAAAAGCACTGTCCGAAGGCTAGGTAGTAAGGTAACTAAAACCAGGTCGACACAGCAAATGAAAGGCCCCGCCATGGCTGAGATGCTGCAGTGGAGAGGTCACAGGGTCGAACAGCCACAGCTCCGGAACAGCCCTAAAATGGTTCAATTCACAGCCAATCTTTCTGAGTCGTTTTGGTAGTGATGAATAATGCCAGAAGCAGGTTGGCACAATTCACACAATGGTGGGCAAACATTCCGTACAATCTAGTGATACCTCTCCTGGGTGTAGACTCTAAAGAAGTTACGAGCCACTACAGGGCAGACGGGCATTCCCACATTCACCGCAGCACTGTTCACAGCAGCAAGAAGTTGGAAACAGCCCAAATGCCCACCAGTAGAAGAACGGATAACAAAGTTTGGGTACATGCACACAATGGAATACTATGCACAGCTGAAAAACAATGGGGAAACCACGAAGCAGCTCCTGACACGGATAGACCTGGAGACTATTATTCTAAGTGATGTTGGGCAATCACAAGAGGAGAACTATTGTATGGGACCAATCCTATTAGGGTAAAAACCACGACAAAGACTAGTACACCAAGGGGACAGAATTTGGAGGCTCCCAAAAGAGGGAGAGCAAGAGTAGAAGATGAAGCAATGGATGAGAAGGCCAACAGGTGTTGAGTAGGGTGACAGGGAAGATGGAGCTCCATTAAGAGGGAGAAGAGAAATCAAGGAGGGGTAGGGTTAGGGTTAGCCTGCGGATTGATGAGAGGTTTAAACGGTTGAATGCAGAGTTGGGAGTACTGAAATGTCAATCCCCACATCTAACTCACCACAGAAAAGCCAGCTTTTAAAAAGGAAAAATGAAAGATGTCATAATATCCTCTTCAAGAGGAGCCTAAGGAAAGGGCCTCTGCATTTGCCAACTTGTCAAAAGAATGTTCCTGCAGAATCGGAACAAGAACCGATGAATGAACACAGGTGGGACTTGAACAGTTACCCCCAGGGAAACCAGGAAACGCTGGCAGCCGTTGAGTCGTGTGAGGGCACTGTGGACCATGAATCACCAGACAGACAGCTCGGAACAATCGGAGCCCGGCTCGTGTCAGAGACAGGAGGCATGGGTGTCTGAGTGGGGCAGACCTCCTTGACGGACAGCCAGGCTAAGGTTTTGATGAAACATACACCACATTTCTCAGACCATCTTTGTGACGCAAAAGCTGAACCAACCTTCTTCCAGGACTCACCAGGCCAGACCACTCACCAGGGACAGGAGTTGGCACAGCAGAGGGGCGTCAGTAGTTATAATGGCCCAGATGATGCCCTATCAAGTACGATACCTTGCCTCAAACTCAGGTGATAAGGGAAAAAATATCTTCCACAGCGCTTTTCAACTCGAGGTTTCAAGAGGGCTCATCAGAAGTATTATTAAAGTGTTTGCGAAAATGCTCTTTATGTTAGAAGATGTAAGAGACGGAGCAATTGGCTATAGCTATACCTTGGTTTGAATCAGACTCTATTCTATAATAAAAACTTCATTTATGAAACTGGGGCAATCTGAACACTAGCTAGGTATCTGATGACATTATGGTGTGACAGCGGTGATAGCTTAGGAAAAATAAATAGAAGACACAGAACAAGAGAGAAGTGGTAATCTTTGTCGTTCACAAAAACATACGCACATGTTTACTGAAGAAACACTATCGTGTCTAGCATGGCATTAAAGAACGACAGGGAAGCAGGGTAGGGTATACATGAAGACGACTGGCCGTATGTTGACCCCTGCTGAAGCTGGAATTTACAGAGATAATTATATACTTTGTCCACTTTTACATATTTAGAATTTTTCATGTTGGAAAAAAAATGCATTGCACATTTAGGTCAAGGGTGACTCATCCTTACCTGTGCTGGGATCTTTGACCACGATGTCGGAGATTTCAAAGAGCTTCAGAGGAAGAGGCATCTTCCGATTGCAGGCTATAGTCTTCAGGAGACCAGGAAGAAGGGTAGTGCGTGCTACCTGCCGGAGGAGGCGGGGAATTGTGATCACCCAACAGGCACTGAGCAGATCTCACTCGGCACAAGACAAAGTCCAAAGACTCCTGGGTTTCACTGGAGACCACAGTGCTGGAGACATCCAAGTCGTTTCAAATTTTCAATCTGGGGCCCAAAAATAACTGGAGAGATTCTGCCTTCTGCAGGCGCAAATGAAGAATAGGGAACCTGATCACAAGTGAACACGCAACAGCACACTTTGACTTTGCCTGGATGCAACCCCAGCAAATAAGCCAGTCTGGTCAACAAGACCACGTCCTGCAATCGCCCGTGCCCTTGGAGATGACAAGAACCCAAGTCACCCTGGGCCACCCGTGCTCCAGCTGGGAGAAGCTGAAGAACCTGGGAGCTCTTCCGTTGGACAGGGAGGCCCCCCTCCCCGCTGGCCCCCAATAAAAATGTGAAAACCACCAACCAACAGAACTTAAACATGATGGTTCGCATCTGAAGCAACAGGTGCCACAGTGGTCTAGTGGTTACATAGAGGGCTGCTCACCGCAAGGTCAGCAGTGGGAAACCACCAGTCACTGGGGTGTGTGTGTGTGTGGGGGGGGGGGGTTTCTACTCCTGTCAACAGTTACAGTCTCGGAAACCCAAAGCAACAGTTCTACCCTGTCCTGCAGGGTGGCAGTGAGTCTGAATCGACTGGATGGCAGCGGGCATGGTGTGGTCGGAAGCATCTGGTTCTGTCAACAGATTCCCCAGCCCAAGCTCGATACATTTTGCCCAGACCATTTCATGAACTCCCTACACTGGCTTCTCTGCTTCTCTCTGCCATTGGGGGGAGAAAGGAGGTTAGTTAACATTAGTGAAAGTGGCTATTGAATGACTAAAGTCAGGGGCACTGCACAAGAAAGCCTGCTGCCCTGTACTTGTGTTCTGTGAATGGCGTGAGCTCTTGGCGAGTTCTTGCCCCACTGGGAAAATGAGCAGCATTTCAGAAAGCACTGAGTTGAAGGCTAGTTGCAGCTTGCTGGTTGCAGGGGGAGGGGCGAGTCCAGAGGCTGAGATGGAGACCCGAGTGTGAAGTAGTTCCTCAGCTGGCGTGGCTGGAGAGGGGGCCAGTGCCAGATCATACTGGACCCCAAGTAGGACACAGATTTTACTCAGAGTCCGGTGACTTCTTGTTGGGAGATTTTTAAGCAAGGGAAAATCTGCTTAGAAAATAAGACACCCAGCCCCAGTGGCAAGATAGAAGCAGAGAAGCCAACACAAGAGTTAAATATAGTTAAACCAAAAATCAAGGGGAAGGGGAGGTGGGGCCCATGGGCGCTAGAAAAGCACATAAACAAACAACTCACTGTCATAATGTTAATTCTGACTCATAGAGATCCTTTAGGACAGAGTAGAACAGCTGCTGTGGGTTTCCAAGACTAACTCTTTATGGGAGTGAAAAGCCTGAACTTTCTCCCTGACATGGCCGGTGGTTTTGAACTGCTGACCTTGCAGTTAGCAGCACAATGTGTAACCAACCACCTTACCCAAACACACTCAAAAAGATCATGTCATTTCAGGTATAATCATTGAAGTGCCTTTTCATAGCTCAGGCAGTGAGTAGCTCCTGGTTTTAATTGAAATTCCAATGGACCTAACGTCTTACCTGAAACTCAGCTGTTTTAGGATTTGCAATGTGGACTGCTTTTGTTGCAGAGACATCCAAACCCAGCTTATCAGCAATGTCTTCCTGGGAGCACTAAGAAGTACATACAATATGGGTCAATATAGGAAAGCAATGCTGGATGTAATGTAATCGGAACATGATTTACTGTTGCTAAATCAACGTATGATGTACTCAAACAAGAACATTCTCTACCTAAGCCAGTAAGTTAAGAACCAAGTAAGAGCAGAGCAAGTACTTTCAGGCCTGTGGCAGATGGCAACTTCACATGAATAGTTGCCTTAACATTGGCTCCTGCCAAGTACACAGCTCAGGTCAATTTTCACATGAAGATAGTGGTGTAACTTGTACTCCTGGTCTAGTCTCCAATGGATTCCCTGCCTACCCATCAGCCTTATATATTTCCCAGGCTTTACTTGCAATGCCCTCCTAGGAACCACTGTGATGGGCAGAAGTTAGTCATGGGGGCACGATGGATAAGCACTACACAGTTCAAACCCATCCGGCCACTCCTAGTGATCTGTTCCTGTGAAGACTGCAGCCCAGGACACCCCATGAAGCAGCTCTACTCGGTCTCATAATAGGGTCACTCTGGGTTGGAATCACGTTAACGGCACACAGTAACAGGCAGAAGTGATCTAAGTACTGGACACAGCCTGTCCAATAAATGAGCTCAGTTAGCACAAGTAATGTGTCTGGCACAGAGACAGCATTCAATGATGATAATAATTCAATGGGTCTGGGTCAGAAGGTGGACGAAGATACTGATAGGATCCACCTATGATTAACTGCAAATGAAATTCACTGGTGTACCATCCTGCTGGGTATAAAAGAGCCCCCTGAGAAGCGAGAGAGAGGAGTTTACTATCAGCAAGAGCTAGGGGTGGAGCACGTCCTCTGGACCCCAGGATCTCTGCGCCGTCAATCATGTGGATCCAGATGACAGCTATGACATCAAAGGAGAACTAGGGGCCAAAGCATGAAACAGAGTAGTGGACTTCACAACCCACCAAACAAGTAAAGCTGAATGCTTTGGGGCAGGAGGCTGGCTTATGGAACTGAGTATGCTGACCTGCAAAGCGGGAGCTGAGTGCCTTTGAGCTGAGGCTTATAGCCAGCGGCAGGCCCTTTGACTGTTTACGAGTAGTCCCTGACAGAACTGTAACATGTCCTGATAAACAATGTATCCTAAGCATTTCTCATTTGCAATGCAACCTGTCAACATCCTTAACAAGCCCTTCAATGTGTATGTTGTCTGTGAGTTCTGTGTAGCCACTGACATGAATTACAGAACCTAGATATAAAAGTATGAGAGCTCTATTGGAGTGACAGTGCACAACACTTTACAACCTTCCATGCATCAACAGCAATGTTATAAATATGCTGAGAGAGGGCGAATTTCGGGACTGAGACTGAGGAAGCGAGGCAGCCTTTTTTGGTGGCTTCGTTTCTCATGTTTTGCCCTACGGGTTCAGCTGTTCCTGGACTGCTGCAGTGAGATCGACACTGCAGTGTCCCAGAAATGCGCAGCCAAGGGAAACAGGAACTGCAAGGTGCGTGCATGCTTCAGTCTTTCCTGTGGTCAGTGTGCACGAGGTGAGGTGGGGGGGAGGGGGAGTTTCCCTCTGATTTTATAATACAAGTCACTTCCTGACAGGGGTCTGTTGTGTCAGCTTTCTAACTCAAAAAAGGTTGAGAGCATGTTCAAAGACAAAGGAGTAAATTTAATGGGGAAGAGTTCACAAGCCCTTCACTAGGGTGGCACCTAGTGGTCATAGAGGCAACCAAGACCTACATGTTTTTACTCAGTACATTCAGTTCCGTAATTCACTATAAACCCTCCCCATTCGGGTGAAGCTGACAGACATGCTGCGTGTCCTCTATCACAGTAGGATTATTTTTTAATCCTGCACATTCCTATGACTAAATACAGATCCCTTCTACCTTGTTGTTTTACATACCAGCTCTAGGGTAATCTCAAATGACAAAGTGAGCTGGGAAAATTCAGCCCTCTCAATTTCATAAATGCACACAGGAATACACAAAAAACCACCCGCTGAGCAGGAACAGCCCGGAGGTCGTACCAGCGCAAACGTGAGTGCCTCGGTGAAGCCAGCCGCCGCCAGGTCGAGTCGTAGGAGTTCTGTGAGCTTATTAAGAGGTAACTGGGGGGGAAAGAGAGAGAAAGGCTCACTTGATTGCCCTCAGTAACATTTCCTATTTTGCAATAAAGAGGTTCAGAGAGAGCATGTAATTTCAGAGAAACCAGTACGTTAGTGCCCTCACCTGACCATCTCCTTTCCCATCACCCCACAACCCGTACAGAAGGCGCCCAGCCCTACCCTGCCCCCAGCTGAGAAATCAAGCCTCCCACTTCAAGATGTAAGAAGGCTCCAGGCTCAAAACCTGTATTTCTTCAAAGAGCAAGTCACCACAGGTTTTTGACTCAACTCTGGAGCAGCTGACACCTGTTTTGCAACCTCCCCATAACAAAGGCTTCTCATAGCAGTGTGGCAGCTACATAATCTCCTGTCAATTGGAACAAAGGGGTGGATTCTAACCTGTCAATCAGGTCGCAGCTTTATGACTTCATATGGGGGCACAGCAGAGATAAAGAGCTCACTGGAGGCCAGACTCACTCTCTCTGCCTTCCCTTTCCTACTCTTGAAACACTGAGAGCTGGAAGAGACATGTGGAGACCTGCACCAGAGCTGAGATGCTTCCACTGCCACTGGATCCACAAGACCTTCTACCCAGTGGCCTGTGATCTTCCTGCATTCAGCATCATTGCATGTGCTGCATGAGTCTGAAGAGGAATCTATGGACTAGTATCAGACATAAGGGCTAATATCAGGCCTACAGACTTGAATGGACTGGCTTTGGCTGGGATGTTTTCTCAATATACAATTGCTCTTTTTATATTAAACTCTTTCTTATACACACGTGTTTGTGAATTTGTTTCTCTAATCAACCTGGACTAACACACAGAGCATGTCAAAACAATGCTTCATTCTTCTGTTCTACTTCTCAAGAAGCCTCCCTGGGTTCTCTGCATAATCAGGTTCTAACAATAAGGAGTGCTTGACAGAGAGTGCAGGGAATCTTGCCTGATTAGCGATGGTATACGATTTCGGGAGACTCATCTGAATGTTGTTATATCCATAAGCGATTGCAGCATCTTCTATAATATCGCAGGCATGGATGATGTCAGCTCGGGTTGGAGGGATTTCTATCTCTATCTGGTGCCCATCACCGATAACTTCTGACTTTAAGTACATTCTGGTCAGAAGCTTGGCAAGATTTTCTGGAGTTTCTCTGTTAGAAATGTACAAAATGTAAGTTTCAAAGAATTTTTTAAAACCTCTTAGGATTTGGCTTTAAAATAAGCTACAATCAGAAACAACACTTGATTTTTACCCCCTTTTCGTGTATTTACCCCCTTTCGTGGACCCTATACATCCCAACAGCTGACATCCTATCAGCATTAGGTTACTTGGAAGCATTCTTTCAGAAAAGAGAGAACACTTATGTGTGTACTTTGTTCTTTAATTCTGCCATCAACAAACAAGCGACGTTTGCAGAACATACTTAATTCCAACTTTTTTATTGATGAGATCAGCTCTCAGCATCTCCTTCCGGTAGGCCAGCTCCTTAAGAAGAAAAAGAAGAGTTCCCCAGATTACATCCATATGCGAGCACTCCATCCGCTAGATAGTGCACACTGCCTGGTACTAATGTGAACCCAGACAATTTCCTCTGTTAGATGATTCATCACTATCCCCTACTGTAAAACACAGGTATACCGCACCATTGCTAAAATGCTTATCAATCCAGCTAAAGATTTTCCATTTTGTTTCATGTAAGTAAATGTTTGTGACCAAGAAAGAAGAACTCAGGTGTCACAATGTACCAAGCCTACAAGGATCATGATGCTATTCCATCTTATCAGTTCCCAGCCGTGGACAAACATTCTGTTTTGAGCCCTGGGCCTGTTCTCTTATTCTCGCTGCAACATTGAGTGGGTGGGTGGATAAAACACCCACACTCTATACCCATTGTTTTTATCATCACCATTATTCAATAACGTCTTAAATACTTACTGGAAAGGTATGGGACTTCCCATTCGGATAAACTACTTCAACTGCTTCAACTCTGAAAAAAGACCAACACATAAGTAAATACTTAAAACATTCAGGGCAGTAAATTCTAGAAATGTACATGAGTAACGTCTTTCACTTCATCTGCAAATATCTACACATATTCTACCTTTGCTGCTGGATTAACCGTCCTGGGAGCACAATGACTCTCCCATTCCTCCTCCAATGACCTCTGTACCAACTTGATGAGCTAGCTTACTTCCCAGTGGCTCACTGCATGCATCCTCTACAGCAGTGGTTCTCAACCTTCCTCATGGGATAGTTTCATACGGTCCCTCATGGTGTGGTGACCCCAACCACAAAATTATTTTCGTTGCTACTTCATCACTGTATTTTTGCTACTGTTATGAATCATCATGTAAATAAATATACAATATGCAGGATGTATTTTCATTGTTACAAATTGAACATAATTAAAGCACAGTGATTAATCACAAAAACCATATGTAATTATATATTGTGAAATATTTATTTCTAATGACAAATAAATGAAATATTTTTGTCTTGAAGCACGGTGTAGCATGGGTAACAGTTTTCCCGTGGGGTACTTGTATGTGGGTGGACCCATCTGGAGACGGATAGAGGAGCAGTGTCTCAGTTCCTAAGACCATTGGAAATGTTTTCCAATGGTCTTAGGTGACCCATGAAAGGGTCTTTCCACCCCCAAAGGGGTCGCGACCCACAGGTTGAGAACGCTGCTCTATAGATTCCTTGCTGACAGTGAGATACATTCTAGGCTATCCCACGATGCCAATTAAATAACATCAACTGATCCCCCAAAAGTCTATCCTCAAGGACCAAGGACCATATAGAGAGTTTCTAAAGCTGTACATCTTTCTGGGAGCAGAGAGCACTATCCTTGCAGTTAGTGCTCCAATGCTTAACCAACAGTGCTGCCTAGGCTCATTGTTAAAATCCTAACCAAGGTTCTTCATGGTGTGGTTCCTTAGACACCATTCAAGCCTGAATCAGAGCTCACCCCTCAGACGTGACTTTCAGTCAAAGAGTGAGCAAGCTGTTATCCTGTGGGGACCGGAATCAACATCCGGAAACCAAATGTGTGTAAATTGTTGAGTGGAAAACCAATTTGCTCTGTAAACATTCACTCAAATCACAACAGTTTAAAGAAAGTACGCTCTGAGAGACACACTGAAATCATAGTAAGCTACAGGTGGTCCCTGCGGTACAAACAAGGTCTGTTCCTTAGGGTGTCTCTAAGTCAGTCTTTCAGTCGAATCTGTGGCTCTGTTGGAACAGGTACATGTAGTTCTATTACCGAGCCTCATTTTAGAGCAAGAAAAGCCTGGCTCGCATTTTCCATATCTATAAGCTGCACATGCTGCAGTGCAGGTGCTTGTTATGAAGAACTGTTTCAGGAAGGAGTTGGTTCGATCCTTTGAAAGTGAGGGCCGACGTACGACCACTGAAGGATGAGGATGACGTGTCCGTTGTGTTGGCTATTTGTACCGTGGAGGCTGTCTGTGTGCTGGTTATCTGCTTTGCTGGAAAATCTCTTTCTATACCTGTGCTCAGCCACTGCTTTTATGTTCCCCAGCTTTATGTTCTCAGGGACAACCCACTTTAAATGCACTTTACATTTCATTCCCCCGGGAAGACTTCCCAGATTGCCTTTCCTTCAGGAGTGTGCCCTTATAGGCATCCAGAGAACATGACTGACCCTTTCCAAGACTCACTTTTATTTTGTACATTATTGATGCACATGTCTTACATTCCGGGCACAGGAATCACATCTTCATCTTTATATTTAGCACAAGGCCTTAATGCCTTGCCTTCAGATCAGTGGGCAATCAATAAAAAACAAACACCCACCACCATCACGCACATTGACTCAGAGTGATCCTAGAGGATCCTAGAGGACAACTGTCCCAGGGGTTTCTTTATGGAATCTCATGGCGACATGTTTCTCCTGTGGAGTGGCTGGTGGATTTGAACTGGACCTGTTGATTAGCAGCCAAGCAGCTAACCACTACGCCAGCAGACCTTCTTAGGAAATCAACCAAGATGCTAAATAAACTTACGTAAACGGATTCTCACAATATTCACTGAACATGGTGACAATAATATCCAGGACGATTTTTGCCTGAAAATGAAAAAAAAAAAAAGTATGGGTATCTATAAATAACACGTTATCATCCTTAAACGGAAATGAATTAATACAATTTAGTCCCCAAACATCTAAAAATGGACCTTTATATATACAGCCTAAAAAAGAAGAGAAATAAAAATGTATGAGCTAAAGTGCAGCTATTCTAATCTGCAGGTGTTTTGGATTTAGGTAAGCTAGAGGGTGACAATTCAAGATTGAGTTATTTACTTTTCCCAGGCCCAAGCCTCGGATTCACCAGGTTTTAGGGGAGAAAGAGAAATGTCTGGAGAGAATCTGATCAATCTCACCTCATCGGCCTCTGAACCAGACTGTCTGAATTCTGGGCCCAAGCACTTACAGTGGTGTGACTTGAGTCAACCCCCCCCACCAAATCCTTTGGCATCCAGTCGATTCTGACTCATAGCGACTCTACAGGACAGAGTGGAGCGCCCCCACCAGGCTTCTAAGGCTATAAATCTTCATGGAAGCAGACTGTCTTCTTTTTCTCTTGTCAAGTTTTGTGGGGAATAGCAGGCCAGCCTTAAACACTCACTGTGCCAGTATGCCTTGACTTTGAGCTCCAAGTCACTTCTTAGCCTCTTTGCACGCCAGTCTCCTCATCTGCTAAGTTAACTTCCTTTGGCTATCATGAGTATTAAATGCATATCTATATAATTATTGGGTTTTTTCCCAAAGGATTTTTTTTTTAATCGGAAATATTTGACTAACCGTAAGGGGCCCCTATGGTGTTGAGGGTAAGCCAGGCATCCTCAAACTACGGCCGCTGGGCCACATGCAGCCCACCGAGGACACTTATCTGGCCCGCCAGGTATTTTTGCCCCGTTTGTTTTTTTACATCAAAATAAGATCTGTGCAGTGTGCATAGGAAGTTGTTCATAGTTTTTTTTTTTTAACTATAGTCCGTACCCCCAACGGGTCTGAGGGACAGTGAAATGGTCCCCCGTTTAAAAAGTGTGAGGACCCCTCGTTAAGCACTGGGCTGTTTAGTTAGCCTCATTGTGATTTAAAGCCGTCGACTTCTGGGCCGGAGAAAGACGAGGCCGGCAGACTGCTCCACAAACATTTACAGTCGCAAAAACACTGGATCCATCACTAGACCTCGTAATCCACTCAGTTTTCTGCCATTCAGGTTTCCCTTTCTTTTTTACCTCCACTGCCAGCCCACTCTCCACCTTTTCTAATCTACGAAGAAGTCATTCATGGCAGAAGCACCTTTCTTAATGCCCACTCCCAGACGTACAGTGACAGAGCAAACGAATAGCAGTATCCTGAATCTCTGAGACCTTTTCATTCGCTTAAATCTTTTAACAATTTGGTAAGTAACCTTTCCTTTTAGCCAATTAATTAACTTAAAGAAAAAAATTATTCAAAATAAAGAAAAAGAAATAATTCAGCATTTAAATTGAGTCAACTAAGAGAAATCATTTGTATTGGTCTCCCTCCAACATCTGCCCCATTTCGGCTTATACAAATTTGGGCCAACTCTCCCCTGAAGCCAGGAAACAGGTTACTCATTATTAAATTCCTGGCACTGGAAAGACAGTAGGTGCTAGATATATATTTGTTGTCGCAGTTCTTGAAATATTTAAAATACGCTTACACCTACAAAAGAAACATATTTTAAAGTTTAACCATAAGACTTGTCCCAGAAGTATAATCACTCATGTCTAGTAACAAAATTTTATGTACCTTAGTAAAGTCAGTTCCTGTGCATTCAATAAATACATTTCTAGTCTTTAGTGTTATCTTGGTATGATTCCCTGCAATGAAAACAGAATAATAAATGAAAAATCATCTTCAGAAATTTAAGTGGGCTAAAAGCTCAACAAAACAGAAGTTACATTTTAAAATATGGGGCTAGTAAAAATTGACATCTTAAGAATTTAGGGTATAAACAACTTTCATTTTAAGTCTAACGCAAATTAGAGAATGCAGTAAAATAATAAGAAACCAGTACTGAACGCAAACACACATTGTGTCTGTCGGCTGCTATCCCAAGCACTGGGTTTATGTGGTCCTACTTAATCTTGTGGTAAATACTGCCTGCGATAGGGCTGCACACAAGGTAAGTAAGGTTCAGAGAGAGTCAGCTCCTGGATCCTGGTCACGAGCTAGCAAGCAGCCAGGCTAATTGGGTCCAGATCTGGGTCTCTCCAGGGCTATGTTCTTACCCATCCTAACTACCACAACCCAAGGCCTAGAGGAGGGGTGGGGGGGGTAGACACTCCTTCCCACCATGAATCGGTCAATCCCTTTCCTCACATCCTGCATGGGCGCACATCTCTGACTAAACCGTCATTATATTGGGTCAATATATTTAAGTTGCCTCATCAAAACAGCCTTCAGAAACGAGTTAAGAAGGGAAAAAAGTTAAAGTTTAAATGTTGTAGTTTAACTGCAAAACTACAGATAAGACAAGGCTAAACTTGGAGTTTAAGCAAGTTCACGGCCTGCTTCAACCAAAATACCACCACCCTTTGGAAGAGTACAACAGAATGGGGAGACTGTCACCGAACAGTATGTATAAGCTTATACATACTTACACATTTATAAAGTTCACAAATATTTCCAGGGAAATGTAAGATCATCCCGCTTCTTGAATGAGAAAATGAAAAGACCTACAATCACGTGTGCCAAAGACCCACAATGCTGAGGGTAAGAGTTATCTGACTTAATCCTTGACATTGAGAATTACACAGAAATGCTGAAGACAAAGCTGAAGGACCAGCAAACGTCCACGAGGCTCTGAAAATCACTCACCATTGATTACTGGAGGCATTGAAAGGACAACACCATTGCTATCATAGATAACTGGGTACAGAGGTTTATTCTCAATGATAGGTAAATATTGTTTAAGGTGATTATCAGTCTGGGAAAAAAACATAAAAAAAACCGAGTCAAACAAAACTTGTCTTTGATGGCATTATAGTTAGTTATGTGCCTACCAAACACGAAAGAGCAGAAAGCCAGGAGGACAAAAAGCCCCAAATTACAGCAAGTTCTACATACATAAGACACTGAGATACAGACTAGTGCTTTCATATCCTTGCACACTTCATCTCCGACTGGGGAAGAGAGAACACAGTGAGTAGCTGAATTTGGCCTAGTGTGCCCGACTCATCTGACACAAAATACAACCACCAGAGCTCCTTAGCGAAGTAGGAAGAGATTGTTTGCAAACCATAGTAAGGTAGCACAGCTGCTTTTTTGAATGATATTCACTACTTCTATTTATTGTATTCATTTTAAATTAACTACTGAGTTCATTTCCACTGTTGGATTCTCAAATGCTAACAGTGGGTGTTAAACACTTTGCCACAGTCTTTCCCAAATAAAACTAGTTAAATCTTATACTTCCATGAGTTTATGCCCAAATATATGGGTTGCAACGTGGTACGGTCTATTGCAGTAGTTCCCAAAACTAACAGTACACTAAAATCATCTGAGAAGTTGGAAAAATAGAAACTAACAACACTATGCCTAGATCCCACCCTAGACCAGATGAATGAAGAGTCTCTGGGTTGAAGCCCAGATACTCAGATTTTCAGAAAGCACTCTAGTTCTAAGGTCTCACTCTACAGAACTTATGTGCCGCTGTTGCACAATATGGAAGATTTACCTTGTACATGTTCATCAGTTCACAGGCTGTATACTCCCTGGTCTGATTGAGAGGCTTGAACTTGATGTCTGAAGGGCGCTTGGCAGTATAAGTGAATGGCCCGGATAAGGTGTCCAAATCATGGCTACCTATAGCAACCAAGGAGCGTTTCCTAAAAAAAAAAAAAAAAAAAGATGTGACTATTCCAAAGCAGAAATCCTAAAGAAAGATGCTGGTTTTAATTGACTCTATTCTAAACACTTCCTGAAAACAGACTGCTTGAAATGGTACCTTTAGTGGACTACAATGAACAAATTCTTGCCATTATGATCAGCAGTAAGGAAAAAGCTCCTACCTATTTACAAAACGTTATCTCAGTAGCTGAGACATGTCACTATGCTTTCCTAGACACGTTTACTGGGACATCTTCAAAGTTGGCATCCCCTTTATCTTCTTTTAACCGACTTCCTCTTAGTGTCTCAAGTGAACATAAATGCTTTGATTAAAACAGAATAAATTACTGAATTGCTGCATTTTAACCTTTCTACTGTTTTCTTAATATAGCTGTATTATTTAATAATAACTAAGCTATTTAAACGCTGTCAATAACATTTAGATTTTAACTTGATATGTAAGAAAATTCAATTAACTATTAATTTTATTTGTCCCACACAGCAATATACAAAGTTGAATGTGACATCACTACAGACACTACAGATACTAGGATAATAATGCCAGTAACTTTATGGCAACAAATTTGATGCCTTAGATGAAATAGATTCAGTCCTAAAAAAACACTTCCAAAGTCCACTCAAGGAGTGGTTCACTGATCATTCTGGAGCACCAGAAGGACTGGTGTGTATTCCTATTCCTTCTCTTAGAAAAAGCTCATGGCTTCCAGCAATATCAGATGAAACAGCTTAAAGTTGGACAGAGTGAAGCAATACCTTTTGACCTACATAAAAACAGGGCATTAAAATGCGGCATTCCCAGATCAGAAGATCAAAGGCAGATACGTTTGTTAGCAATCTTACATCCCGTTTTGGGTTTTGAAATTAGAAACCTGGAATTTATTTATTTAGTTAGTTTTCTCCTCTCCTTCCTCAAAGCAATGTACTATGTATACTTAAGTATAAGCCGACCCGAATATCAGCTGGGGCACCTAATTTTAACACAAAAACTGCATTAAAAATGTGCTGAAAAACTCGACTTATACACAAGTATGTAGGGTATTTAAATTTTTTTCCCAAAACAACCTTATCACCCTCAAAGTACTCTCCATTACACTTAACACATTTGTCAAATCTGCGATTCCATTCTTCAAAACGTTTTTCAAACTCATCTGATGGCTGACAGCACCTCCCTCGTTTTTTCTTCACCTCTTCTATGTTGTCAAATTACTGTCTCTTCATGTCCTTCTGCATATGCAGAAACAAAAGGAAGTTGAATGGAGTAAGGTCAAGTGAGTAATGTGCGTGGGGCAAGAGAGCCACGCTGTTTTTTGCCAGACACTGGCACACTGATATGGCTGCATAAGCAGGGGCATTGTCGTGGTGGTATAAACCAGTCCCATCTGCCACAAATCAGGCCTTTTTGTCACAGTTACGCTATCATTTCAGAACCTCTAAATAGAAAGCTTGATTAACAGTCTGACCTGATAGACTGAACTCCAAACACACTACAAGTTGACATTTTTGTCTGCTTAGGAAGTTGAAGAACATCCAGAGTGAGGTTTGTCCTCAACTGACATTTCATTTTTTTTAAGTGAAAAAAATCACTCATACACTTGAGTTTTTCCCATAGCACTGTCTTGTAAGCTGTGTTCAACATCACAACAGTTTCTGAGGCATTTTTCTAGAGCAGGAAAGAAAATTTCACAACCATACATTGTTCTCTTAAGTTGGCCATCACAAAAATTGAGGTTCATGCAAGACTGCTTTTATGAAAAAATTCACTGTGACCAGAGAACCTTCCTAGGGGACGCCCCTGGGTGCACTAAGTCAGAGCGAGTTGCTTGATGCTCATCTACCTAGAAAAATGCATACCACGAAATAAAACTCTGCCCTGCGATACTTCTTTCCTTTTTTTTTTCTGGTACTCCCTCATATGTTCAAGAAAAAAGAGAAGTCAGGTGGGCTTTACCACATGGGGATCTTACTTGTAAACATTTTCATCACAGAAGAAAACATTATATTCTTCTCAACCCTGTTTACAATCAATCCATCACATAAACAGGAGCTCTCCCTAGTCTCCATGATTTACTGAACTGCAATTATTTTAAAAACATATAAAAGGTTTTCTATTTTTATTCAAGCCCTTTCTATCTGTCAGCCAAACCTGTAGTCGACTAGTGTCAATACATTTCAGGACTACAGAAGGAAACTTGAGTGTTCTGACTATCAGGGGTTTCCAGTAGGCTTATTGGGATATGAAAATTAGGTCAAGGATTCTGAATTTGACCTTCCTCAATCTCTAGGAGGTCACAAAGTATATGGATTTGAAAGCCTTAAGATGCCCTGGGGGCAGAGTGGTTTACAGTTCAGCTGCTACAGAGAGTTCCCTGGTGGGACCCACTTAAGCACCACAGGAGAAAGATGTGGCAGTGCACTTCCATAAAGATTAGAGCCTTGGAAACCTATGAGGCAGTGGTACTCTGGCCTGTGGGCTGCTGTGAGTTAGAATTGGCTCGACGGCATGGGTGGCTTGGGTTTGCATTCGTACAGGAGCACTATAGGAAATGATGGGGGGGTTGGGGCGGGCGGGAGGAGATGAGGAGCTGATACCAAGGGCTCAAGTAGAAAGAAAATGTTTTGAAAATGATGATAGCAAAAGTATACAAATGTGCTTGACACAATGGATGGATGAATTCTGATAAGAGCTGTATGAACCCCCAATAAAATGATTATGAAAAAAAAAGGACATGATGTCTAAACAGTGGCAAAGACAGAGTAAGGCAATGGGGACATTATGAAACCTCAAGTTTGATTTTAGAAATTGCTCCGACAATGTAGGATTATATTCATTCCAATGGTGAAATCACACCATTTCCTCCCACTTGTCATAATATGGGTCATATTTCAAATCACCATGGTTTAGTTACAATAGTCTAAATTGATCAATGATTTAAACAAACAAAAATTTCTAGGAATATATATTTTTTCCTTACACTGTATTAGAATATCTTTTAAATGAATATACCATTTACAAACAGAAGCACAAATATCTGACAAAGCAAGTTTAAACACTTTCGAACGGGGCAATTTATTAACCCAGCATCATTTGTTCTAATGTTTCTTGTTGGCAGCTGCCACCTGTCCAGCGATTCTGTCCAGATCTCTGTCGCTGAGCTGTCAGTTTGCGGCCACCGTCTTGGTCCTTCTCCACCATCGTGAGCCCCTCCCGGGCTTGAAGGACCCGGTGGGCCACACTCTTGGAGCCACAGCTGAAGTAGCTGGGCATGACACGATTCCTCTGCCGCCCCCCATAGATCTTGGCCATGGAGCTGACCCCAGCGCAACCCAGAAGAGACAGGTGCCGTGCTGTGGAGGCAGCTCGCATGTAGAACCAGCTCTCGTCGTAGGGAGCAAGCTCTTTATGTTTGCCAACTTGACCGTGTCTGCCCATTCAGGGACTTTCAGCTTCCCGGGCTTTTTGAGGAAGGCTGCCAGAGCTCGACGAACTCCTGCTGGTTCACGTCTTTTACAGTAACTCTAGGCATCGTGTGGCCTCTACGCTGCCGGCCAGGGGAAAGGGCTAAACTCTTGTTATTCTCATATATTATTAATTTAGAAATGCTTTGAAAGCATCTATTGGAAGGAGGAAAGGGGGATGGAAGGAGAGGAGAGCGCATGAAAGAAGGGCAGCAGAGGAAGAAAAGTGGGGAGGGGGCAGTTAGAGGAAAGGTGCAGGGGGGACAGTGTAACCACAAACCTGCAAATATTCTGATGCAGTTTCTCCTGGAGGTCAATGAAGCTGTTGTACCGGTCTGGAGTGAACTTGACATTGCGGAGAATTGCTGCTACGGCGTAAGGACGTCCTTTAGCTGTCTGGAATTTATAGCATCGTTAGCAGTGGCAAACATTCATGATTTTATTTAAAACGTGATCTTGGGATAGAAAGTTTGCTGTGCTTCTGACAATGTCACAAAAGCTCATCCAGTAAATAATAAACAATGGTGAACAAAGGACAGAGTCGTGTCCTCAGGAAATTTACCTTCTCAGTAAGATATCTGAAAATGAACTAAGAATTGGAAATTAAAAAAACCCAAAACTTTTGTTTGTTCAACTAATGGTTTTACCAAAAATGGCACCCCCTCTAAAAACCTTTTCTTTTTAAAATTTTGTCTGTCTACTGTAATTTTAAACTAAATAAACTTATGGATATTATTTTTCTGAGCTAAAGGCTAAATATGGAAGCACCATTTTAGTAAATGAGCAAAAAAACACCCATTTGGTAAAAAGATTTGTTCTTTTTCCCTCCTCACCTTATAGACACATACACAAGAGGTTTTTTAATTAAAACACATTCTTAAAAAAGATTTATCTCATTACCTCTTCTGTAATTATCAATTTCTGGAGTTCTCCTTTAGGCATGACCCGTTGATATACTGGGGCTTTTATCCTAAAATTAAACATATAATTAATCAAAATATTTGATAAGTTAACTTTATGCATAACAAGTACATAAAATAAAGAGCACTAAAACAATGGGTTGCAATTATAGCAAGCCAAATTTTGACTGTATATTTTAAAAAAATAAACAAAAGGCCAGCCAACTTTCTACCATTAAGAGCTGTCCCAAATGGTACAGGATGCCTCATGAGATACTATGTTTCTCAGCAAAGCCTAGAAAACCACTAACTGAGCAATGGTTTAGGAGTGTTTAAACATCAGCTGGAGGGCTGGGTGAGATAGGGAACGTTGGTTTTATTCTAACATGAGATTCTGGCCGTCTAAGGAAAATATGGCTTACAGATTCCTCAATTCCACCTACCCCTCCTGAATCAGTATCTACATTTCTAACACATCTCCAGGCCACTGTTCTCATCAGGGGCAGCAGGGAAACACCTTTAGGACAGTGCTTCTCCAATGCCCCTGTGCCTACACTCAGTTGGGGATTTTATTAAACTGCAGCTTCTGATCCAGGAGGTCTAGAGTGGAGAATGAAATTGCTGCATTTTTAACAAACTCCCAGGAGACACAAATGTGACAAGTCCACAGACCACACAGACCATGCTTTCAGTAGCAGGGGTTTTCAGTCCCTTTTCCCAAACTGGTCTGATCTTACAAATCACACAGGTACTTGTTAAAAACACAGACTCTGATGAGGCAGGGTTGAGAAACAAAACGTGCAGAGGTTTATCCCTGATCCTGAAATACAAGCTCCTCATGCACAGAACAACTGGGTCGAGCCTCAAGTTCACTCTCCTTACACAGTGCCTAGTCATCACCCCGTCACCAAGGCCCACCACTCATCTAATCACTCATCTGAAGTGCCACCGTTTCAGAGTCCAGCCTATCAACCAGACTTCTCAGTTCTGCAACTCACCAGAGGATGTATACATGATCAACACCAAAAGGCCCCGTGATTATTTTCTGACTACTGTCACTTTTCACCCCTTCTTCCCCTTACTGACCCACTATTTTGTATTTTCATTATATGAATATCTACCAGGGGGCCTTTAACTTATTCTTCTATATAGATTAGGAGATTGAAACCGGAGAGGTCAACTGCCATGGTCAAGACCATCCAGCCCTCCTAAGACCTTGATTTCCCATTAGGAAGCTCCACTCCTGGGCTCCCTTTAACACTCTCATCTTCATAGCAGGTACATTCCCTTTCTCTGTTTCTTTGCAACCTTACGAATCCAAGAAACTATCACTCCAATGGGACTCAGGGGTAAATCCCACGGATCTGCTAAAGAATTTTGCTCCCTTTAAAAAGCCAGAAAAACAGTAACCTCCGCAGTTTTAATATCTGCTCTAGGAATAAAAGGCTGCAGCTCAGTCTTCAGGCAAATGTCTGAATAGCCACCATCCATGTGAACCTCATCCTCCAAGCTTTCCCTCTGCCTGAGCTACATACAACTCTGAACCTGCCCTGCAAGATTTTTTCCTTTAAAAAAAGAAAAAACAACTTAAATAGGGTGGCTGATAATGATAGGGATTAAAAAGAAAGACATAGAATCAAAGTTAGCCAAGTATTTGATGAACGTATTTCTTTACCTTTCTTTGAAGACTTGAAGTCCTCGGACCAATCCCTCCAGACAGAGAAGATCATGTCGATTAGCAGGGACGTCAATTTTGTAGAGAACCACCTCAGAGGCCCCAGCTGCCTTGTCATTGCCTTGCTCCTTGCTTATAAGTTCCTTCTCAGACGTCTAAAGCAAGCCAAGAGTGAGATGTTAACAAAATGAGATAAATCTAAACTCTTTTAAAAAGTAAAGGCTATCAGACTTTTGGGTAATAGTTACTTTTATTGCAACAAAAACATGGGTTTAAGAGTATGAAATGCTACAATAAGAACACAAAGCACTCCCAGCTTACTGAGTTCAGACATCTAGCTTCCTCAGTCATCCCTAAACAGCAAATGCTAGCTGTTGATCTTTGTAAAGTTTTTGTTCTGTTTTGTAATTCTTCTTGCGGTGTACCAAGTATAAGAAAACACTTGCCATCTATAAGTAGAGGTTGCCCAGGTCTAGCCAGCCCATTTTTCTCTGGCTCTTCACATGCAACAATGGTTGCGTTAAGGGGTTGAGAGGTTATCTAGCCTGTAAAGCTAAAAATATCAACTACCTGGCCCTTTAAAAATCCCAGGGTAGCACAAATAATTAAGCTCTCCAGTTGAAACAAAAAAGGCTGGCAGTTTGAACCCACCCAGAGGTACCTTGGAAGAAAAGTCTGGCAATCTGCTTCTGCTTTGAAAACCCTACGAAGCCCAGTTCTATCAACAGCAACCTAAGGGGCTGAGAATACTGCAAAACAAACTGAACACTATTCTGAGATCATCAGAATCGTGGTGAAATTAGAAGGGGTTCCAGGGGCAAGCAGAAGCAAAGTGGAGACAAACAATAAAGACGGAGAGCAGCAAAGAGGGCAAGGGAACCACAGGAACCATCATTTTTAATGCCCCGCGAAGAGTGCCATGTGGGCTGAACTCTCATTCCTCATTCCACCAACAACTGCTGGAGTCCTATCAAAATACGCAATGATTTCTGTGTTGTGGGCTTTCCTTCCACTGCCACAGCAAGAGTGATCTCTATTTGCACAGTTTCCGGGGAACTTGCTTTCAGAACCAAACAGTCCACACCCTCGGCATCTCGAACCAAGGAGGCATGCCTTAACAATTAGGAAAATGGAAAAACAAGGAAGAGGAGAAGGAAAAGAGAAAAAGGAGGAAGGGCATGAGGAGAGAGGGGATGACAGAGAATTTAAATAACATTCATGCAAACAAACAAAAAAAACCCCAAGTTCCCCAAGCCCGATGCTGTCTATTCAATGCTGACCCTCGATGACCCGGAAGAGAGTAGAACTGCCCCTCAGGGTTTCCAAGGCCAACAGTCACACTCTCCCATAGTGCAGCGGAAGGGTTCAAACCACCCACGGTTCACAAGTGAGCACTTTGACCACTGCACCGCCAGACGGCATTTCAGCAAAGGGGTCAATCAAAGTACTGTTGTGTGGTGAAGGAAGGTAAGTCACCTCACAGGAGATGCTATATTTCAGGAGGTTTTTAGGAAGAAGGGGGATAAGATGGTAACCAGATAAAGGTAAGCCTCCCAGTCAAAACCATACCAGGTCAGAGACTCAGTGGACCCTAAGGGCTTTCTAGGGAGGATTTTTTTTTTTTAAGATAGCCAGGCCTTTCTTCTGAGATGTCTCTGGATGGACTTAAACCTCCAGCCTTTTAGTTAGCAACTGGGTGTTTTACACATTCACACAAGCCAGCTTTTCTATAAATAAAGACTTTGCTGCTTAAATCTTTTCTAGTTTCAGTATTTCATTCCCACTTGATGGCAGGGAGTATAGGGTCCTTCTGCCCTAGTGTCTGCGTTTGCTAGTGCCACCAAAAATCAGTGAGCACAGACACCCTAGGGCAGAAGCACTCTACACTCACTCCCACCTAGTGGGCTCTGGCCCTCTAGGACAGCGTAGAATGGCTCCATAAGGTTTCTGAGACTATAAATCTTGATGGAAGTACAACAGCCTCCCGAGCAGTGGTGGGTGGGTTCGAACCCCTGATCTTTCTGTTATCAGCCCAATGTTGAACCCGCTGCACCACCAAGGTGGCTGAAGGAATCTATAGGGATCTTGTCATTTTAAACGCTTTCCTTAACAGATGAAACGCTTGGAGACTCAAGTATACAGCTCAGAAAAGCAAAGTAATTATCCAGAGTCACATACTTATTAAATATTGTAACTGGAACTACAGCTCCAATTTTCTGATAACCAGTTCAATACTCTTGACTATTACACACCCTAAGAAATTGTTTTTTAAAAATAAAATGACTAATAGAAACTTACTACAAACTAAGGAAATGTCAGGCTACTTCTCAATTATCTAAATAAGGGTGGGGTGGGATGGGGGATATCTGGCCTGCAGGCAGTATAACGGAACCAAACTCACAAAGTGGCGACAAAGAGAAAATGCCTATGAACTGAGTTCATACAGATTATAAACAAACACCCAATACGTACAATTTCATCAAGTTCCAGGCCAAATTCAAAACACAGCTCATCAAATTCTTCGTCAGCTAGGAGAAGGAGAAAGGAGAGAAACTCCTCATTATAATCAGTTTGGCACATTGGGAACTAGAATGAAAATTGCAGTTTTCTATTACTGTGTTACAAGCATGCTAAATATCAGGCATTGGATACCACAATTTAAAAACACAGTATTTCACAAAACATTAAAACCCAAAATATAGTAAGAAATTGAAAACAAAGCTGTCAAATGTTTGACTAACCTATATTAACATCAAAAATAAGATCAGGTTACCTTGACCGGGAATTTTTCATTCGCTTAAAAAAAAAAAATCACCTACGTAGGGATCAAATAGGCACAAAATACAGGCTCCAAAGTACAGATCTAACATAACAGAATACTACCATGTAAGTTTTAGTATATAAATCCTCTGAGGTGGTGTGGATTTGGAGTTCTTACCGTGAGAGCCTCACACAGAGCATAAGCATTTTAAACTTCTATATAAAGTGGCATTTGATAGGCACAACCGGGGCTGCTGGAAGGTCTTAAACATTGAGTACCAACCTTACCATTAGATGTAAATTCCGGTGGAAAGCAGGTCCTTGATCTGGACATTGACCTTAAGTAAATTTTACCAATATTTTTTGAGCACCTACTATACCAGTCACTGGACTGGGTGCCAAGGTTACAGAGGCAAATAAAACATCATTTCTGCTGCTCTTCTTACTTTGGAATAGAACCACACATACAAATACAGAGAATTGTAAGAGCAAGCTCCTAGGGGGGCACACAGAAAGTAATCAGAGTCGGCTAACGATTCTCCAGAGGGAAGAATTCATCAGGCAGCAAACAGTCATTTAAGGGGGATGCACTTGGCAGGCGAGTAAGGTAAATGAGGGAGTAGAATGCGGCCAACAGGAGAGACCTGACAAGGGATTTGCACTGTCTGCAGGCCACGGGAGTGACCCTGAGGGCTTTCACATGAGGAAAACCACGGCCAGTCTGCATTCTGGAGAGACTGCTGACTGGTGGCAGGGGGAGGACAGATGGGAGCAGGGATTCACACAACAGCACAAGTGAAGCAAAGTGAGGGGCTGGCTTAAAGCAGCAGCAGTGAGTCTGGGAAGAAGAAAATTTGGGAGCAGTGTGAAAAGGGCAGACTAACTGGATGGGGGTGGGGGGTGGGGATGGTGAGTGAGCAGGCATTTGGCACTCCTAGGTGCCTGTTTGGGGTGCAGGGGTATCAGCCTCCACAATGGCTTTGGTGGCCCCTGCCTTCTGGTACTCTTGCCCTCCGGTGATCTGATGTCTGGAGCAACCACATGATTGAGCTCGGAATCAAGCTCCCCAGCCCAGCCTCGAGATGACTGCAGCTCGGTGGACAGCTAGACTGTAAGCTGGTGACACACTGAAACCTGTAGCACAGCACTACCCAATTCCCGACCTTTGGGGAAACTGAAACGATGCTTTCAAATAGGCAAGCAGAAAATCCAAGACAATGCCAGGAAAACACAGCCCAAGGGTGAACCCAGAAGGTATGATGGTACAAATTTTAATTTAAAATAATTTAAGAACAAATCAAAGGCATTATAGTACTCATTCACAAAACTGTACTCTAAGCAATGTTTCCCAGAATGGACGATATAGCCCCAACATCCTGCTCCTGGAAGGATCCAGAACTCACTCACTGCCATAAGTTGATGCCAACTCAAGGTCACAGCACTGAACTGCCCCTGTGAGTTTCCAGGACTGTTAACTCTTCATGGTAGTGGAGCTCAGTTTCTCCCAAGGAGCTCATAGTTTCAAACTGCTCACTCTGAGGTTAGCAGCCCAACAAGTAACCACTATACCACCAAGGCTCGTGGGGGCTGCAACAGCTGAGCCCTACATTTGGATAATGGGCCTTAGTACAAGTCTTGAATTGCCAGGTAGCAGGGGGATGGGGGTGAGTTTTGTTGGGTTTTGAGGCCTTTTCCTGCAAAGGGAACAGTGGTAGGCCAAATCTGTTTGAAAAACCGATGCTGTAAGGCAGCGGTTCTCAACCTGTGAGTCACGGTCCTGTTGGGGGGTGAAACCCTTTCACAGGGGTCACTAAGACCATCGGGAAACACAGATTTCCAATGGTTTTAGAAACCGAGACACCGTTCCTCTGTCTGTCTCCAGGCGGGTCCATCCACATGCAGATATGCCCACATATGAGTACCCCGTGTGAAGACTGTTTCCCATGCTACACCAGACTTAAACACAAATATTCATCTATTTGTAATTAGAAATAAATATTTCACAATATAAAATTACATAGTTTTTGTGATTAATTACTATGCTTTAGTTATGTTCAATTTCTAACAATGAAAATACATCCTGCATATTAGTTACATGATGATTCACAACAGTAACAAAATGACAGTTATGAAGGAGCAACGAAAATAATTTGATGGTTGGGGGTCACGACATGAGGAACTGTATGAAAGGGTCTCGGCGTTAGCAAGGATGAGAACCACTGCTCTCAAGGAACTCAGAGAGTGTCTCATAAATCCCCTGGTTCACAATGGGCTTAAGGAAGGGCATCATGTACCAGCAGATACTCACGGCATAAACAGCTAATCTCAGATATTTGTAAGCATGGTTTATTGTATCAGGAAAGGGAAGCTAGTCAATTGCACCAAAGCCCCACAAAGTATTAAAAAGAATTACATACACAGAAACATTGCCAGCATGGACTGAAAGGGGCAGAGAGGACAAAATAAAGTCTTTTAAGTGCTCAAGGTTCTGTAAGCAGTAAATGGGCTGTGAAAAATCACTTAGCTATAAGCACATACATGTTCTCTCTTCCTCTCTCCCACATGGGGCACTCGATCAAGAACCTAGAGCGAGGGCAGGGCGTGTGGAAAATTATCCTAGCCTTTGAGACCGACTCAAGGGGCACCTAACATCTACCAGCTGGTGTGCAGCACAGCCATGGGCCAGTGACGCCCGTGTGTCCCCTACTTTCTCTTTTTTGAGCAGGTGCTGTAACCCCATGTCTGTCCTACGATTGTACGCCAGTGTACGTTGTGTTACAGCCTTTTCCACAAGCTGATAATCATGAGGTGAGGTAGATGACTGACGATAGCATCTAGCCTTCCTTTCTGTTTGGGGCACGTTTATAAACCAGAAGAAGCGATCGGGTGCGGCATGAAGACTAAGACACCCCCCACTCCCACCCCCGAGACTCCTCTTCTCTCAATTTCTCAGCTCAAAGGGGGCCACTGTGTTAAATGTCCTTAGCACACGGCATTTAACATTATCCAACATCGGTTAATGGATTGGCTAATGAGTGTCTGCCACCCTCATCAGAAACAAAACCAGAGACGTCGACGTCCTGCTCACCGATGCATTATTGCCAAGTGCCTAGAAGAGCGCCTGGCACTTCACAAGCCCTCCATTAAACTTCTTTTCATAACGGCCGTGGGGATGCTGTAACCTTTCTCCTACCCACACCCTACTCCTACCCCTCCGAAACGGCGTCTCCGCGGCGGCCTTCGGATAGCACTACAGAATGCACTCGGAATACTAGCCGGTGCGGCATTCCCCGTTTCCCCCCACCCCAGCATCGAGCTCGGCCAGGCGCCGCAGTCTCGCCGGATGCGACTTTATGAATGAATGACACGGCCGCCGAGCACGTGCGCATGACGCAATGGCAGTCGTGGCTTGGCTGGCACTCAGACGACCTCAGACCGGGAGGAAGGTAGCCTGGGCCGCCCCGATCCTCAGCCCTCCCTGTGCACATGCTGACCGCCCAGGCCAGATCCGGGCTCCCAAGCAGCCTGCGAGCGTGTAGCCGGGCCCAGGTTCTAGGGCCGACGCCTGCGAGCGTGTAGAGGCCAGGTTCTCGGGTCGACACTCACTGTAGGTGCGGCCCAGGGCTTGAAAGAGCAGGTCGCGCTTCACGCTGACAGTCGGCATGGCGAGTCAGGTGCTCTGGGCATGCGCGGCGAGCCGGTTTAGGCTTGGCGACCGAAGGAGACAGGACCCAGTCTCCCTCGTCTGGGCTGTCTTAAATATTGCCAGTGTGAATCCAACGGCTACTGCTCTCCGTTTTTAATAGGAAGGCAAGCGATTGCGATTGCCATTCTCCATCTTATAAAATAGATCTCCATTGGATGAATAACCGGTATGCTTAGGAAAGACAACACTGGATGGAATGCACTAGACTTTGTAAGGCAATCGAATGGACAGCCGAGCTTGCTCAGTAGCGAAAGCCCCGCCGCTCCAGACGCGCTGAGGGCAGACGACTCAGTACTAAATGGGACCCCCGCGAGAGGGGCGGGGCTAGAGTGGGCGGAGCCGGGCGAGGGGGCGTGCCTGCAGCGGATGAGGAGGCGAGTGGGCTGGGCCTGAGGGAAAGCTGCGACAGGGATTGGGGCGAGGCCCGTTCAGTCACACATTTGCAAACCTTAGTCGGGCGGAAGTGGTGTGCTGTCTGTAGCAGGTTTCAGGTCGCACTTCATTCCTTAATTTCTCTTGAACTTTTAGAAGTCTAGGAGCCTTGGTGGTGTAACACATTAGACTGTTAAACTCAAGGTCGTCCGTTCGAAACCACCAGCTGCTCTGTGGGAGAAAAACGAGGTTTTCTGCTCCTGTAAAAAGTTAGTACCAGAAACCCAAAGGGTCACTTTTACCCTATCTTATATGGTCACAATGAGTCGGAATCGACGCGATGGCAGTGAATTTGAGTTTTGTAAGTCTTACACTTGGGTATTTTTTTCTTTTTAATTATGATAATTCACATACCACAATCTTTTTCCTTTTAAAATGTGTATATAACTTGACTGATTTTACAGTATATTCACAAAACTGCACAACCATCTCCATTCTCTAATTCCATAACATTTTCTTCATCCCCAAGAGAAACCCATATCCATTCGCAATCACTCCCTAGTCTTCCATACCTCGAGCCCCTGGCAGCCACTACTTTACTTCATCTTTTTTTCTGTGGAGTTGCTATTCTGTACAATTTATATAAGATGGTAATCGTGCCATGTGATCTTTTGCATCTGAAAATGTTCACTTACCACAATGGTTTCAAGATCTATCCCTGTTGTAAATGTACTTTTTTCTTCCTTTTCTTATAGTAATACTCCATTACGTAAAAACCAAACTGGCAAGTGGAGTCCAATTCATAGCAATCCACTATGGCAGTATAGAACTGCCTTTGGGTTCTAAGACTAACTTTTCACTGGAGTAGACAGCCTCATCTTTCTGCCATGCAGCTACTGGTGGGTTTGAACCACTGACCTTGTGGTAAGTGGCTCAATTTGTAGTCCACTGCGCCACCAGGGTTCCTCTTCCGTTATAGAAATATAGAACGTTATTTTCCCAATGCTTAATTGATAGGCATTTAGATGGTTTCCTTTATTCTTTTTTCTTTTTTTTTTTGCACCTAGGTTTTGTCTGACCCTCACAGCCGGTCCTTCATAAGGGAGGCACTTTTAGACATCTCTGATAGAAGAGGGAATGGCTGACATTTACTCCGGACTCAGGACTCAGTCCCTCAGATGCTGTGTTTAACTCTCTGCCAGTATTAGTTCACACCCTCTTCATGGCAGCCCAAAGTCCAGTAGACTGAACCATGGTCTTCCAAGATGTTGTTGTTCGTTTCTGTTGAGTCAGTTCTGACTCAGTGATCCTATGCACCACAGAATGAAACACCGCCCAGTCTTGCACCATCCTCACAATTGTTCCCATGCTTGAGCCCATTGTTGTAGCCACGGTGTCAATTCATCTTGCTGAAGGTCTTCTCCTGTTTTCGCCGCTCCTCTAATTGACCAAGCATGATGTCCTTCTCCAGAAACTGGTTGCTCCTGACAACATGTCCAAAGTATGTAAAACCAAGTCTTGCCATCCTTGCCTCTAAGGAGCATTCTGGCTTTACCTTTTCCAAGACAGATTTGTTTGTTCTTTCGGCAGTCCATGGTATTTTCGATATTCTTCACCAGCACCAGTCTTCAGTCTTCCTTATTGAATGTCCAACTTTTACATGCATATGATGTGATGGAAAATACCATGGCTTGGGTCAGGCGCACCTCGGTCCTCAAAGGAACATCTCGCTTGTGTAGCATATTTACCCAATGTGATGTACCATTTGATCTCTTGATTACTGCTTCCATGAACATTGATTGTGGATTCAGAGCCTAAGGTTTTCCAAGCCATATGCCATGGAAAACCTTCAGGTCTCCCAAGATTACAGGTCCTCATACCTGCAAGTGGTTAATGTCACCTGATATGGCAACAGGTTCTTTCCAGTTGTGATTAAGTTAAGGCTCTTGTATGGACTTATCAGGGTGGGTTCTAAAAGCAATTGTGCTTACATGCTGTTGAGTTGGTTCTGACTCGTAGCAACCCGGTGAACCGTGGAACAAAGCACTACTTGGCCCTGCACCAGCCTCATCATAAGCAGTGCCGTATGAGCCCACGAGCTGTGAGTAACATGATGGCAATGAGTTTGGACTTGGGATGAATTGTTGTAGCCACTGTGCCAATCCTTGCCCTTTTTTGCTCGCCCTCTACTTTGCCCAAGCATGATGTCTTTCTCCAGGGTTGGTAACCGTGTAAGAGGGAGGCAGGGGAGGGGTCGATTTGCACACACAGTGAAGAAGAAGAGGTACTGTGGAAGGGACCCAGAGCTTGGAGTGTTTCAGCCACCAGACAAAGAAAGAGGCATAGAAGACAGGTTTTCCCTTAGAACAGAGCCTCTAAAGCAGGCCTTCATCTACCTGGTTTTGGGCCAGGGACACTTACTTTGGGACTTCTGGCACTCAAGAACTGTGAGGGAGTTCATTACAGTTGTTTCAAGCCACCAAGTGTACACAGTAGCCATAGGAAATGAATGCACAGAGGTAAGTGTGATTATCACCCTGAATTTGCAGGCGTGGAAACTGAAGCACAAGATGTCCTAGCGATTTGCCTCATATGACAGAACTGACCAGTAGAGCCATGATCTTTCTACTGTGCAGGGACTGAGCATCTCCAGAGCCATGCAGTAGCCCTGGGGACAAAATGGTTAAACACTCGGCTGCTAACCGAAACGTTGGCAGTTCTAACTCACCCAGCCACTATGTGGCAGAAAGATCTACCGAAGGGCTTCCTTAAGGATTCCAAGCCCAACCCCACTGCCGTCATGTTGACTGACACACTGACCCTGTGAGACAAAGTAGAACCACCCTGCGAGGACGTTACAGAAGTCAGCGGCCCCGTCATAGTCCTGCAGACTGGCTGGCTGGTTCTAACCACCTGCCTTTTGGTTAGCAGCCAAGTGTTAGCTGGCTGGTAGGTTCTAACCACCTGCCTTTTGGTTAGCAGCCAAGTGTTTGCTGGCTGGTGGGTTCTAACCACCTGCCTTTTGGTTAGCAGCTAAGTGCTTGAACCATGAAACCACCAGGAGGAACACTACTACTTTGTGACACATGAGTTCATCACATTGTTTCCATGGTACCTAACAACAACCATGTGGCCAGAGAGGTGAGTGGGTCATAGCTGGGTCAGTTTTAGGCATTCCTCAATGCCAACTGAACCCTTTCCCCCAGTGTATTCTATTGCCCATGGTGGTAGGCCATCTCATCTCACTGTCCCAACATTACAGACAGACAGGGACCCCATGAACTATAAACATACTCAGTGCCAAATATAGTTCTCTTACCAAAATCAGTGCTCAGCTCATGGGAAAAAAATGATCACATGCTGAGCTGCCCTCCTCTGGGGATTTCTAGATGCTCTGTGAAATTGGTATCCTCGTCTGGAAAATATGGATAAGGGTGCACACTTTAGAGAATTGTTATGAAGCTCAAAAGTAGTGTTCTCATCGTTGTTACATCGCACCCTGACTG